ACCCGTTTCCTGTGTACCATTCTGAGTGGGCGTACTTGAGTAATCGAGAATGCATCCAGAATTGATCCTTTCGCGGAACTGGAGTAACCAGTTTGCGCTTCAGCGCCCATTAGCTTCGACTCTGGATGCGCCATGCATCAGGCTCTCTCGCAGAGGTGGTGCGATGGTGCAACTCCTACATAATCCCTTTCTACTCGAGCAGCTGTGTTCATAGGATTCTGGAAGGTCTAGCCTATTTACGCACTTGTTTCCAGTCTTGTTCGCTGCGGATGATGAGGCGTGTCCGCGCGGCCGGGCAGTCGCGAAATCCTTTCTCCACTAGTTGTTCAGTCGTGTAAGCGACATCAACTGGTGGAAAGCGACAGATACGAACGATGTGACGTTTTGTCGCTTTTCGATAGGAGAAGTAATTGGAGCGCTCCGCGCCGAACGCAGCCGGACACATCCCAGCATCCGCAGCGAACCAAACTACGGGTTGTATTAATGTCATCTACCTACTTAAGAAGCTAAGTCATCTTCCTATTTCTTCACTTAATCGTTCTGATATTTCTAGTATTTCTTTTAACATACTCATGCTCTACGCGAAGCAAGTTCGCTACCCAGGGCTCAGCGTCACTGACACCTTTGCGCTGTTTGGTACTGTCATTGACGTCTCACACCTCAACGGTCAGATACGACCCCCGCCCCTCCTGCTGGAGTATCCCTAACGATTGTGTGTCCTGATTATTAAGTTTAAGTACTTCTCAGTAACGACCAACCTTTATGAGGTCTGAGGATAATAAAGGAGATTCAGGATGGTCAAAAGTGCTTGTAGGCGTGCAATGATCCATAAAGTGCTAACAGAGAACATCATTCCCACTAAACATATTTTACTCAGAAACAATTAGCAATCGTTTGTTGAAATTGAAATCCATACTCCAACATAATGACAAATCCACTTTAATTGTGGTAGTTCTAGTGGTTGGTCTAATCCTCTTTCTTCCTCTGAGTCTTTTCTGTGATTTCACATGTTTCTTTCACTCTCGATTCCTCAGTGTGAAACTGGACATTGATTTGATACGGGCTATTCTTCACATTTTCTACGATAGCAGTGTTGCCCCTGCCGTTTCTGTGCTGTAACTGATATGGCTCTGTGAATCGATTAGAGGTCAGGAAGCAGCGAGCAACCAGTTAAAGGTTACACCGATGGCTACCCTGCAATTATGAGAGGGAGATGTGCGAAATAGGTGAACTGGACAAACATCATACACCCACCTGCACACATTGAACCTTATCGAAAGCCCTACCCCAGACAGCCTCGCCCCTTTTGCCGCAAACATTTACACACATTGTACTCTATACCAGCGCGGCGAACTACGAGTGTCTCGTCACATTCCCCAAGTGGTGCTGCGATCAGCATGGATTGTGTCTTCAAATGATCTGTCTTATCATTCAGTCGAAACGTCGATAGAACAAATCCTGGTGATTCGGCGTCATTATTGGCACGTTTAACGCGACAAGACGATGGCAAGTTGCCAAATCTGCCCAACGGCTATCCGTAATTGTAAGCGATCCGGGTAGATCATGACAGCATCACATCGCTGGTATGCAAATATCACGTTGCTGACAAACAATTGAACGTCAGCGCAAACCAGTGATCGATTAGTGATGCGCGTGAGACGCGTTTTCAATCTTATCAACCCGTTTTGATCTCGAACACTGGTCGTTTCTTGTTGAATGTGTTTTTACATAATCTCATATACCATATGTCAATATAGGATTTCGACTAGTCATCCTGTAACTCAAATAAAAATTTATATCATTATTGCACTGTCATCGTTGACATTCCACATGGTTATCGTCGAAAATTGCATATTGTTTTGGATGTTGTTTCTATTGATTTTTCGAATCCTCTGATAAATTTGATCAAATTGTAACAAAGTGAATCTCCTTGTTATGTGTCATTGGGATATTATCAAGTATTCCCACACGGTTGTCCCTTATCACACATCGCCCTCAACACTTCTCCTCTTATCATCCATTTTCAACCCATCCTTTTCTCATAGCGTCATCCTCGTCGTTATGCATACTATATGTCCTCTCTCCCGTTTCATTGCATTTTTCCCATGCAAAGTGCTTTCAAACTTCTAAAACACTGACGGTGAAAGAAGTGGCAATAAATCGATTTATTGATTTGATCTTAACTTCGGTACTCATATAATCAAAACAGGGCGTGAGCTGCGTAAGTTCGCAAAAGATGACCTATATCTATAAATTATTGATTAGGAAATATAAATAAATCGTTCACAGTAAGAGAGTTATTTACAGAAAGGAATGTACATAACTGAGTGTTAGTTGTAGTGATACTATGTAATCTTCTGATGAGCAAAGTTTCAAAGGGTCGTAGTACTTATATGCCTCCAGTTGGACCTAATTTTACAATTAAAATAGGAGCAGATAGCCAAATACGAAAATTATGGAGAACACCGTCATAGAAATAGCATGCACGGCAACGAACGCTGCTGTCCAGTCCTGAAATGAACCTTCTCACTGAAACACCTTGAAGCATTGTCTCAGTAGGAAGCTGGTTCAGCGGTCACAGTTGTATATGCGTATAGCAAGATGGACCTCACTGGCTAATTCCTCGGACACAGAAATTCAATTTACTTCAATTCGCAGTATCATATGGGCCAATTGACATTTTTTTCGTTGTTGGAAAAGTTTCGCTGTATCAAAGGCATGTGCACACTCGCAGAAAAATAAAAATATCTTTGAGATGAGAGAATGGTAGCTCCTACACTATCTCATGCTAGCTTGATCATTTTACCCGGCTTACTCCTGAACGAGGTTTCTCATAGTTGTCTCGCATATAGTGTCTCAAGCAGCTACGTTCCCGGCTTGAAGTCATGAACCGCATTTCACTGACGTCTGTTATGACAGAAATATGACAGACACGCTCAACTCTGACCCCCTGTCGTTTTTGGAATGACAGCAGTCAATAGAACATTCCTTTTCTGCAGAACAATCCTTCTCTATCTGCCCAAAACAACATTAGAACAGCCCGAGTCGTATTAAATAACTCGCTCTGTTGTGAGAGAACGCTTGAAATAGTTTGCTCACCTCGATGATGAGAGTTTTGGCGTTCTCCGATCAAATGAGCGTACTTCATTGACTGCCGTGAGGAATGCTTTCAGATTTACTGTTCAGGACGGGCTGACAACGGTTGTCCGTGACATACTATTAGGTTTGGCGGGAGTTCTGTCATACTTTTTCGAACTCAAAATACTTGCCCATTACCTGAAGAGGGGTAACCGGTAATGTGAGCACTTATACAACAAGGAGTGGTCTTTCTATTAGTACCACTCGCTTGACTCCTTCTTCTTCTTCTTCTTCTTCTTCTTCTTCTGCAATATGGACAAGAATGTTATCCGCTACCATCGGCACCGACCCCTCCAAGCGCTTCCTCAAACTCTTTCTTCCACCACCCTGACGCCAGCATGATAGCTGCAGATGCCAAAATAATGGAGCTGAATAAGGACGATGCCCTCAATTATCGGACAACCTTCCACGACGCTAATGCTTCAAAGCGGGAGCCTACAGTTTTGATGACGAAGTGAGGTTTGGGTTACCTGTGAACTCAGATTGAGGGAGCTGCGGGTCGTGAAACTGCTGGATGAAGAAGCTGCTTCCTCGGTCAATGCGTACGCAAAGCAGCTACGAGATCTGAAGCGAATCGTCGATCAGAGGGAAAAATTCGTCCGCACAGTCCGTCTTCAACGTGACAGTGCAGCCTACTCCGTCCAAAAAAGTTCGAGCCGTACCTCATGCAATAGAGCTGGATGGCTCTCCCCTTGCACTGGTGTAGCACAGACATTGCTCCTTCTAACTGCTAGTTGTCTCCATCAACTAGCAACTCAATCGTTATATGGACGAGAAAACCTCCACAACCCGAGCCAAGTCAAAATTGAGATGATGTCCAACTTTGCGTCGCGCCGGCCTGCATTGTGAAGCGATGGCATCCATGAGGTGCTCAAAAACTGGCAAGAACCCCGCAGTAACATTGCTATAATTTTGATCTTACACGCCTCTATAAAAAGAAAGCCTGAATTTGAAAAATGTGACAGAACTTTCCCGCCAACCTAATACAACATCATGACATGAGATGGAGTCTTTAGAGAAATTGTTAAAAACGTACAACATCGCATGGACATTTTCTAGTTAGATGATCTTCCCGGTTGAAGAAAAAGTGTGGTTCGCTATAGCCTTGGAGAAACGGGAAATGTTGCTTGCGTTCTCAACATGAAGCGTAGACAGTCAGCAATACGAGTAAGTGACTGAATCCCACCTGCTCTTTTTCAAAAATAGGCGATGCAGAAAACATGTTTTCTGCAGGATAAAGCGGCCACGTATGTGTCTTTTCTAGCAAAAGAAGGGACCTTGTGCAACGGTATCCATGCGGTGGATTGATCACATACTTACTGGTATCATTACAAAAACAGCAGGGGGATCACAGTTTAAGGTGTCTATCATAATAGCCGGCAGTCAAATACGGTTCATGACTTCAAGTTGGCAACATTTGCAGCTTGAGATGCTATATTTGAGACAAATGAAATCACATAGCACCTACCAGTTTCTTATCTCAAGGACATTATTATTTTTCCTTGGGTGTCCACATACTTTTAGTACAAAGGAAATTTTTCCAGTAATGGAAAATGTAATGTTGCTCACAAGTTGCTGCGAAGTGAAGGATATAAGGGTTTCGTATCCGAGGAATTGAACGGCCCATTCCGCGAAAATCAAAGGTTTTCTTTGAAAGTCGGAATTTGGTGTGTCCACATACTTTTATTAGGCAGCGTTCAGACTTCGCATTGGTTGCGCGATTAAACGATCGATGCGCATGCTTTAGCCTGCATCGATCGCGTTGAATGCGCGACCGAAGCGGTGCAAAGTCTGAACGCTGCCTTACGCACTTTGTTGTATCCATTGAATGGGCGGAGCGTTCTAGCGCGATGCGTTCCGCCTTATGAAACCACGCCCACCTTCTGATAGTTCCCGCCAGACGACGCTTTCTCGATACCTTCGTCCTCGTCGACGGCATGTGTTTGGAACACACATAAAAACCGGTTGACAAATAATGAAAGCCTAAAATTCACGGAGGATGATAACGGCAATTGCATATTTGTATGTACAGTCATCGAATTCATTCTAAGCTACTTCGGTTGCTATGACGTCGCTTATTAGTGGGATCGATGAGTTTCATCAGCAAAGATATAAGCCTTGATTTCTGTGCAGCGGAGCGATGCATTAAATCCTTTAAAAACGGGTGAAACCTAGCAAGCGATCACAATACGTGGAGGACTACAGTGTTGTTTTTGTTGCGGATGCTGGGAAATTTGGAGAAGCTAGGTTTGACGCCGCACCAAAACTAGCCTCCCTGAAGGCTCTGGCATCCGCAGCGAATAAGACTGTAGCATAGACGGTTTACTTCTGGAACGAAGACAATGCATCGAATTTCGTCGATTTTCTCCCCTTATCTGCGCTCTCTCGTCCACGTGGTGTTCCATCATCACTGCGGTACCTCACACATTTCGACTTTCCACGCATGGTAAGTGGCTCACCCATTTTCACACTCCTTCCATTGAACAGAGTCTTACCTTGAACTCGTCAACTGTTCTTTTGAATTATTCAGTGCTCTAGGCCGTTGTCTTCCTGTCTGGCCCGTAAGGTTTCGTCTTTCCCCCACGATCAAGGGCAACTCTTCAAGTGGTTGTATGATTTGAAGTTCGCATTTTCACGCAGGGACACATGCATGATGAGGATGTGTAGAATGGTGGTGTGTGTAGGAATATCACGACAATCTTAAGTCACGCCCGCTTTTCACAGCCTACCGCTGTGACACTTCACACGCTACCCTTACCCCACTATTTCCCGAATTTTCGTTACCGACATGAGGGGGAGTACCCTGAAAAAAATAGGAATGGAAGAAACATCTTGATCAATAAAGCTCCCTCTTTGATGGGATGCCTACAAACGGCGTGGTTGTGTGATGGGATCCAACGGTGGTGTGCACTGTTCGCAGTGTATAAAGTCAATTAGCTTCGAAATGCTTCGCTTTTCTGCGTACGATGTCACGACTTTGATTTCCTGTACATTTGAGAGCCAGTGAAAACATTACCCGCATGGCTAGATCATTGCAAAATTTGGAAAGCTAAAAAATTGAATTCCTTTCTGAGGTCTTTGTAACGGCTCTTTATGAACCTTCGTGCGACTTACTGAATAAGTTGACCCCATGGCGGTAAGCCTCGTCTGATTCGCGTACAAGCCCAAAGGAAAATCGATGCAGCGAGTGAGAGTCCGTTGAGCAACACGGAGAATTCAAGGAATCGCACTGAAACACTCGAATTTCCATTTAATATGTACATGTTTACGTAGATTTTTTGAGGCTAGACCGACGCAGTTTTGGTGTAGCACTGGCACTTCCGAGATGTGGTGAAATTCGATTCGAAAACAATATGAATGTCAGAAATTGTAACGCCAAAATGAAGAATTTGGCGCATATCTAAACAGGCAAAAAATCTTGTACGTAGCACGAAAACGTCGATTAATCACATGTACAGTACCTGTACTTTAATCATGCCAAGGAATGGTGTCAACAAGAATAGCAGTGCACACACCATCAGTGGTACGGTTAGTTCGATTCTTATCGATGATGCAGCTCGCTGCAGGTTTAAACAGAATCCGAGCTATAGCAAGTGCGTTATTGATTGGTGATCAAAATCGTGTTGCTCAATGAGGTGTACCTGAGCAACTTGGGCAGGATCTTCGAGTGTTTGTGGCACTGTACCAGACACTTTCCAGCCATAATCACGGAAATATTTCGGATCGGTGAAGATTGGAAGGCCTGACGCGTCGAATTCGATGATGTCCTGGTAATGGTCATCCGTTAATGAACGTTGATGAAGTGAAGAGGTGTAAAAAACCATTACGGGATTTGTTTGTGGTTCAAGTGTGAAACAGCACTTATAGATGTCATCCGGATAGTTTTCGAAGTCCGAGTCATCACAGAACGCTCGCAGAGAAAAGGCTAGGATGGCAGTGACATTACCATTCGAAGTCGTCTCCACTCGTCGCATTTCAAATGCGTCACCGTTTTTCAGATGCGTATCATAGCTAGGACAATTGTTATCAAACTGTTTATTTGCATTTCCGAAAAAGACAAGTCTTACGGTGGGGAATCTCCAGGGCTGGTCGTATTTGATCAGAGAAAGTTTCGAAACGGGAGGGGTCGCATTTTGCAAAAAGGTTCTCCAGCTGTTGATTTATTAGATTGTTGCATAAGTTTTTTCTCCCAACTTTTTTGTAAATATCTCAATAGCGAACCAGCCTGAAGATTAGAGGTATGCACCATCACCATCCACTACTCGACGCCAACGCTCAGGCAGCTTGTCGATTCCATCGTCCCAGAAGGACGGGGGCTGGGACCCGAAGAAGGCCACAATGCCGCACAATCACCACTGTGACATGGTTTTGCACTGGTAATTGTGCGGCATTGTAGCCTGCAAATGCAGGGTGGGTGAGATAGCTAGTGTGGTGAAAGAGTATCATGTACACGTCATGCACACGTGATGACGAAATACCAACCTCCATGCAAACGAAATACGGAAGGATCAAAACAGGGGGAAAAAACTTATGCAACAACCTAATAAAAATCGAAGCCGCACAAAAAGAATCTGTTCTGAACTGTGATCCTCGCCAAATCTGCTTTAATCACTGAGGCATATACAAACCATTTCATGGCACTTGAAGAAGGCGTGTCAACAGGTTTTGTTGCAAGCGTCGCGGTAGCAGTGTGCGTTACTAATCAGAGGCCATTTTACGATGGCAAGTTGCTGGTAGTAGGGTGCAGATACGCATACGAGGGAGCTATGTGTAATAGTTCATCAGGGACTACAAGGGAATGGTTTGAACTTCCCATGGAACTTTGAATGGAGACCTAGGTACATCGATAGAGCCTCGAATGCTGATTACGAATATGCAGATTAAAAGTGCTACGGGGACCTCCCAGACGAGTTCTGGGCGGTCAAAGTTTGCGAAAACTCGGTTTTGGCTCGTAAGCGCTGCTGATCGATCACGGACAGTGCCGCCGTGGCATAGTGGTAACCGTCTCGCTCCATAGCCAGGTACAAGTGGCACGAAAGTTTTTGCTACGTCTCCCATAAAAGCTTTTACTCTAATTTTCAAAATTCTCCCGAGCTCGGCGGAGCAAATAGATCAAGTAGATCAAGTATATGATCTACTCGATCGTGTATGGATTTGGTCACAATCTGCCCTCTCTGAACTCACTACCCATTTTTGAAGTTTTGACCAGAAACTCGCTCGTGGGGGTATTCTGGCTCCCTGAACACGAATATAACATCCGTTTGACGAGAGAAACCCTTGTAGCCTTCCACGTTGTTGTGGTCATCAACTGAACGAGGGAACTATTCGTTTTCACGTCAAACGGATGTGATATTCGCGCTCAGGGGTCAAAATACCCCCAGAAACGAGTTTCTGGCCAAATTGTGATTCTGGCCAAAACTTCGAATGTCGGGACAGATAGCGATCAAATCCATACTTGAATCGAGTACGTCAATACTTGATCTATTTGCTCCGCCGAGCCGTAAACTCAGGAGAATTTCGAAAATTAGAGTAAAAGCCATTCCCTTGTTAGAGGAAAAACAACCGTTGGAAGTGCCCTCAGTGAACTAGTTAGCTCAAGTTCAACTGCTGATTAGCGCCACAGTTCGCGTTCCGGGAGCTATTGCAACCATGCTGAGTTGTAGGCAAAAAGTCTGACGGGATTGTTCACTCTTTACCATCCCACTCTCGAAAACTCCAGTCAGACTTCATCCATGTTTTCCGTAGATAGACTTGGTCACAATTCGACCCCCCCTCCTCGAACCACAGATATGGCGACAGCGTAGCTCACAACCTGCTGGGGCCCCCTCACCAAAGGCGCAGGCGGCAAGACTAAATTTGCTGAAAAATTGACCCTATGGGCATTTTCGAGCCGTGAACGCACTTATCACACTGTCTTTGTGGAAAAGTCTAGTACGTGCGCTATGGGTGCCATCGCCAACATTATATGTAGCGCTCGCACCCACGACGTGGATATATTAGGTTGGCGGGAAAGTTCTGTCACTTTTTCGAACTCAAAATACTTGTCCATTACCTGAAGAGGGGTGAACGGTAATGTGAGCACTTATACATCAAAGAGTGGTCTTTCTATTAGTACCACTCGCTTGATTCCTGCTTCTTCTTCTTCTCTCTTCTTCTGCAATATGGACAAGAATGTTATCCGCTACCATCGCCACCGATCCCTCCAAAGCGCATTTCCAAAAGTTCTAGCCGTTCCTCATGCAATAGAGCTGGATGGCTCTCCCCTTGCAGTGGTGTAGCACAGACATTGCTCCTTCTAACTGCGAGTTGCCTCCCGTAATCAATCATTACTGGACGAGAAATTACGAGAAAACCTCGAAAAGTCTGAGTTCAAGCCAAGATTGAGATGATGTCCAACTTTGTATCGCGCCTCCCTGCATTGTGAAGCGATGGCATCCATGAGGTGCTCAAAAACAGGCAAGGACCCCGCAGTAGCATTGCTGTACAATTTTGATCTTACACGCCTCTCTATAAAAAGAAAGCCCAATTTGAAAAAAGTGACAGAACTTTCCCGCCAACCTAATAGGTAGTTTCGTTTACAACGGATGCGATATTCGTGCTCAGGGGACCAAAATACAACTAAGGACAAACAAAGTTCCGACCGAACCCACCTTAGATAGTAAAATTTGATCAAATTCCCGCCTTAGTTAAGGTGGGGCCGCAAAGGGTGTGGTGCCGATTTTGACATCAGGTGGACTCAAACTCGCACCTCACGCTAATCGAGCCAGTGCGTTATCACTGACAAGGGAGGTGTTTCAGGTCATGGCGCGCTTGGAAATGGTTTGTTGCTTGTTGTAGGGGTCCATACAAGGGTCACAAAAATGGGTTTCATTTTTGCTATGCGTTTCTGGGTAGGTCAAAAACTGAGTGAAAAGAATTTGACAGGAATGGGCGGTTTTAACAATGTTAATGGGCTCCGTTCTGCTTGTAACTTCGAGCATGCATAGTTTATGAGGTGGTCACTAATTAGGCCTCAAAATAGATTCGATTAAAGTCAAAAAGTATCATGTGGTAACACACTTGGCATGCACCGACGCAAGAGTGATGTTTTTGTCAGCGCTCCCTTCATGACCATTGCTGGCGGATCGGATGGCGTAGCGGATAGCACGATGGATTCTGGATGGCACGACAATGCGGGACTCGGTTCGGATCCTCATTGCGGCAACAGTTTTGCATCTGTATCAACGCAACGAGACGTGAACATTTCCGGAAACAAGGTTCTCCACACAACTGTGCTGGTTTGTAAGGTGTCATCCAGGAAAGGCCACCAGGACAACCTGGCCATTTGCAGTGAGTGCATATCATTGTACTCGTCTTAACACAGTGAACTCGAAACTACCTTCAAAATTTGCGGAACGATTCTCTGAGCGGAGTTATGGAGGTTTTCCTTCACTGTTTTTCTTCTTGCGGGTGGGCTGGCGCAGTGAATTTGCACCTGTAGCGCGACTCACAGCTCTCTCCGTGCGAAATAGATATCATATTCGTGTTCAGGGGGTCAAACAACCCCTAGAAACGCCACACCGAGGTTCTGACTCAACTTCGAAAAAAACGGGTAGAGATGGTCACGCCTGGATGATAGCCAATGCTCCGACTAGCATTAGAAGCAAAGAAAAACAAACATGGGAAAGGAATACACTCCACAACACAGATGATCCGTTTCGCTCGTGATGACTGGATACTGGTGATGACTGGTCTTTACACTGAAATAACCCTTCAGGTCTTTTCGCAAAGAACAATACCTGGCTCACTTGTTCGTGCCGCCTGCATCATTTTCCTGATTACCGGTAGAAAATTCCATCCCAAGACCAGTCATCCATGGTGGGTGGACCCCAGCCTGCTGCTAATGTCCATAGAATGGCCCACATTTTCCAAGTTAGGTCGAAACGTCAGATTTGGCTAGAAATTAGTCCCCAGGGGTAATCCAACCCGCTGAACATAAATGTGATGGTATTTCATTGCAATAACCCTTCTGACATGAGCTACGAGGGGCAGCACAAGCACGCTTTCAGGCCACAATGTGGCCACAAGTATATGCCTTCAAATGGCATATACTTGACTTATTTCCACTGCCAGACACACAGGCACGCGAATGAATGGAAAGCTGAAAAATGCAAAACATTTCCCGCGAGGAGGATCCGATCCACAAAGTCCCCCCCCCCCCTTGCCGTGCCATGCATGCTCGAAGTTACAAGCAGAAAGGAGCCCATTAAGTTGTTAAAACCGCCCATTCTTGTCAAATTCTTTTCACTCAGTTTTTGACCTACCCAGAAACGCATAGCAAAAATGAAACCCATTTTTGTGACCCTTGTATGGACCCCTACAACAAGCAACAAACCATTTCCAAAAAGCGCGCCATGACCTGAAACACCTCCCTTGTAAGGTCGCATCCCACCTTCTTGATCATTTTTATGTCAGCCGCCTGAGGTCAAGTCATTCGCCGAAAGCTCAGTATTCTTCTGGTAGGACCACTGTCTTTCTGAAGATTTTACGGGTAAGCAAAAAGGGAGGCTGCAGGTACGAGTGAGAAATTTGACAAAAGAGCGTCAAGGGAGGACACAGCGCATAAAGTGTCATATGCAAGTAGGTAACACGTCGGCATGGGGTTCACGGGCTAACAACAAGGTTAGAGCCTGCTTTTCCGCACTTTGAACCTGTGAAATGTGGATCTGCAAAGATTCTTGCTGTTCGCGGCCTCAGGTTACTTACATACGGGAGGTGATTGTATTTCTACGCCAACTGCAATGCGTGACATCAAATGCAGAACGTAGGCTGGGTATTCCATTCGCTTCTGCTCTTCGTTATTCACTCCTACTGAGCATGACGAGATAACTGGAAAACCGTTTCAGAAATCGGAGACAAGGCGGAACATTCATAATGTGATGACGAAGATCCTTTTCCTCAACTACAAATTCTGTGCTCCTATGAAAATCGAACA